GTTGTTTGATGTTCCATGGACTTGGAGAGCTATAAGGATGACAAAATGTGAGTAGAGCATGTTAAACATTATTATAAGGTGTAGATACTGAGGCAGAAATATCATTGTAGATTGCTTATTTTGTCCTGTCGTTGTACTTTTGACCCGTCATACAAAACACCATAGAAACTTCTTCCTGAAACTTTAGGGAAACAGATTTTGTTTTGCGTTATGTTACTTACCTGGCAGAGTAGTAACTTCTTCTTCCTGCTGTGCAAAATTTAAATTCCCTCCGTCCATTCCTGTGATGCTACTTCCATTCCAAGGACTACGGCTCCCATCACGCACCACTTTAGACTCAATTCCCGCCCAGTATACAAAGTAAGACTGCACCACTGTGATACTGGAATGACAGAAAAGGGGGGTTGTGCATTGATGCAATTGAAATAAGAAATGTTTAAGCAATAAACCAAATATTCACATTAGAATATGATTCCCCTTTTTAAAGATTGGACTGTTGGTTATCATAACAGTCTTGATTTTGCAGGGTCGTACATACTAGAATTTTACATCTCCAATGGGTGCATCTGGAGCCTTCCAAACAAACGAGAGGTTTCTCTTCAGCTGTTTGTCAGAATGAGTAAGGGTGTCACCCTCAGAGAAGCAGCGAAGCACGTGTGTGCTAGGGGGCATGAGGGCCCAGGAACCACCATCCAGCACCTGGCCCAATCTTGTATACCTGACCCCAACCTTTGGCCGGACATCAGCTCTGAACCCGGCACCCTCCACACTGCGAGCCTGGAGCAGGAAACCCATGAAGTTTCGAGAGCTTCGGACAGTTACTGAAGACAGAGGTACATGAATAAGTTATAACAGTTCTTATTTTTACAAGCTAGAAGACAGTTTAAGATATATCTTAGTCAGTTATTTCGGCAGAGGAGTTTTTCAGTGTGGACCTCTAACAATAGCGTCCCTGATCCAAATTCCTCCAGGAACCTTTTTGGTATGTTCTTCCGCACCTTTCTGTTTTTGTGTTTCTACTGCTGATTTTTATGTCCATTCTCAAATAAAGGTGTTGCAACCATAGACTGTATAAAACATCGACGCAGTCTCAGTGACGCCACCCACTAGTGTTTGATGAGGCGTGCTGTAGCTGAATGATGGTGACCCCCATGATTTAAATGCTGACTTTACCTAACTTTTGGTCGATCTAGTTACAAAGAGGTGGAGTTGAGGTGGGTCATTAGTTTCCTGGCAAACAGCTATGAAGTGCCCACCTGTCAGTTAACCTAGCCTAGCCTCTAATTATTCTAATTTATGCAAATCTCTTAGCCTTGATATCAACCAAACAGATGAGTTATAAAACTGTTCAACCCCTCCATTTTTTCAAATAAGGAAATTCGGTAAAGAGACTTAAGGGTGGGTGTTGTTTTTTAACCAGAAGTCATGTTTATTTCTGCTGTGAAAGTGAGCATTTTAATATGGAACCTGATGAGTGGTCCTTGGCTTTTGCAGCCTGTCCCAAGTGGACACTCTAGGAACTGCAGTTTTTTTGCACATGCACCCTGTCTTCTTTTTCAACACAGGAGATGTCCACTTGGTTTTGACTTGATTAACAAGTTTTAAACCAAACTTGTTGATTGTTTAGTTGACCTAGGTCAACCTGAAGTCACTCCTACCCTTCAGATATAAATCACCAAGTTGCTTGTATACAAATGTGTGATTGGCAAAGTTAAATGAATTGTTAGTAATCTTTGTTTGATGTTTACGGTTACTACCTGTTACTAGCTGTCCAGGCAGGTAAGAAGAGGCAGATGTGCGCAGGGTGACGTGGCTGTGCTGCGGGTCCTGAGGTTGAGCGCGGATGTGGCCTGGAACCATTTCATGGCAGGAGGCTTTGCTAGCACCGCGGGAGAACGCCAGTGTGGCGTAGCCAATGTGAGTAAGACCACACCAACCAACCCGAAACAGTAGAGGGTGGACTGCATATCTGAACACATTAAAAGTAGAGAGAGAAAGATGAGACAGAGTCTGACTGATATTGCATTTCAGTAAAAAACAAAAGCCCGTTGGAGGGTCCATGGCCTACATGTAACGGTTAGACAGCGTGTTCTTAGTTTATGTGTAGGTAACAAATGACGCCATGTTTGTACAAGAGAGACCCTTTTGTTGTTATTCTTGTTTAGTTACTCACATTACTGCTTCATGCCACGTTTGACTAGCGTTAGTAAATTATTGTCTCCATCTACGCAGATAGACTTGAATAAATGCAAACTTTGAGGCTCCATTGTGGAACCTTCCGGTCTGTTTCCAAAGAAACACACCTGAGGACGAGCATGTTGTCTCAAAACGTCACTTTTCACTGCTTACAAAGAAAAATAAGGGACATGTGATGGACTATCAACATGTATTTAAATCCATTCACTTATATTTCTTTGTATTTTTATTCCCATTTGCAGAAGAAAATGATCCATGAACCATCTGTGAATTGAGCATCCGCATCTTCAATTTAGCATGAAATGATAAGAAACATGTACAAAGAATTATCCAATCATCTATAAATGTCTTAGGCAAGTCATCGATAAACTCAAAATTCATATTTTCAGGTTATTCTTTCTCGTCTTTAAATTATATTGTTATATTAATTTTAACAATCCGCATCCTTACCTTAGGGAGCGGAAACCTTCAGGGGGTCTGGAAAATGTTGTCGACTTTCTTCTTCAGTTCAAGAATCACTTTCTTTCAGTCTTCCAGTTTTGTTGTTCGTCGTTCAATGAGAAACGTGACTCTGGTCCCTTTGAGTCCCAGCAGCGAGCAGTGATGCTGTGTGAGGTCAGACTTTGTTTGAAGTGTGTGAGGAGGATGAGCTGGAAGTTTTGGAGGGATTTCAGGGGTCCAGGATACGGAGGGAGAGGGGGAGACGTAGAACCAGAATATGTAGAGCTGCAGGTTGGCACAGGCGGTTTTCAGGCGACCCCCCCACACAGCCGTTTTGGACGCCCCTCGGTTTGCCAGATATGAGAGCAGTTATCAGGTCAACAGGTGTTGCAGCGATGGAAGCGGTCAAGAGAAGTGGTTCAGATAGAAGTGATTGTACCCGACCTAAAAAGCCTCTGCATGTTTCTAATAAGCTCCACGAGCAGAAACGTGCTCAAACTAGGATCAATATTGGAGATGCTTTTGAAAAATGGAGAGAGGTTAGAACACAGAAAGGTTTACAGACCCATGCAGAGCTGGATAAACACTGAAGCTTCAGAGTCCACCACATGGTGACCTGAGTGAGCATCCAGGAGGGGGGGGGGGAGACAGCTCTCTATGATGTTTAGAATTTAGACTGCAGTACCCATTTTGAACACCAGGTGTCAGAGATACATACTGCTCCTTTAAGCCTCCTGACAACCTGTCGGTCAGTTCAGCCACGCCCTGAATTCTGAAAAACTGTGAATAACTCTTAGCCTAAATATCCTTAAAACAGACATAAACATATTTATATCTGCTGTCTGCCTTTTTAACATTGGACCTAACATGGATGCAAACCTCAAGTGCCACTAAAGGAGTTGCACTTTTTTTTACACTTTACTACATTGGTTTAATTTTTCAACATTGGGTTTTTCAACATTAGACCTTTAACCACCTTTAAATTTGTGAAACTGAAAACATGTCCATTTCAAGAGAGCCTATATTTTAATCCAAAAAGTTAAATTAAGGCCTTTGTTTTGTAATACCTGCGTTTGACGGTTGAACGTGCGCCGAGGGGAAACCACACAGCACAGAAAGTGACAGGATATGAATGTCAGCGCTGTGGTGTTGTGTTACCCTGCTGAAGAGGAGGTGAGACACGTCTCTAAGGAGTCTATTTCTACGGATTAAGACACCACACACACACTCTTTCTCTCTAACAGGATGTACACCAGCTGTGGCCGCCTCCCTCCAGGATCTCTTGATCTTTCATCTCTTAATTCTTGTCCCCACGTCACTCCTCAAGTCGCTGTCATTGTTAGACATGCAGGGATAAGCTAAGATCCTTTGTCTTTCATTACAAGCTCAGAGATCCTCTCATCACAATCAAATCACACTCAAAAGAGAAACATAAAAACAGCATAAGCTGCATTCAAAATCACATTTCAGGAGTGACATAAATACATAAATACATAAATAATGTTAGGAGATTGTCCATTAGAAAATGTGAGTCTCTCTGATTGCTTGTTTTCTGAAAGGCAAACCTGAATCTCAGCTCCCTGCTCGCCATATTTGTTTATAAATAGTTACTTTATTGAATTTCCAGGTATTAGAAATGAGGATACCTGTACCACCTTTACGTCCAACAGAGCGGGATGTGTGTGAGAACACTGTGTCAACAAAAAGAGCAGCTGGTGTGACTGTGTTTTATCCAGGTTTCAGTAAGTGCAAGTGCCTGAATGTCTGACATTTTTGCAAGTGCTTGGATGAATTCAGTTTTATTCACAGCAGATTGACAGTTCCAGAGGCCAAAAGTAAATGATCCCATTTACTGTTCCCATGAACGACAGAGCAAGTTTCCATTCACCCACCGAGCTGACAAGACCTTCCTAGTTTTCAGATCAGAGCTTGTTCATGATGCTTCTAAGGCATGTTCTGCAGCCTTTGTTTTCTGTGACTTCTCTGTGCAATGGCCTTTCCAGCCGCCAGTGAACCGGAAAGAACGTAAACCAAAATGGCGTATGATCTTCAGAGACGTGTTATCTGTGTAGCGTGCTGCCCACACTGTGCTCGAGATCCCTGGCACTTTTACAGCTCCCGTCTTGATGAAGTCTGCTACAGCACTGTGTAACTTCTGTCTGGTTGTGAAGTGTGAATGAACCTGACTGCAGACAGCGCTAACCTTTGGACCAAGGTTACAGAGAGCTGCTTTAGAAAATAATGTTGTAAAAATGCAACCCTGAATCTTTAAGTACTCTGCTCCCTCGCCCCTCCCCCCTTGTGTGTTCAGAGGAGTAAAACCTGATCCGACCCTCATGAACCACACAGTCGATGAGCTTGAA